ATTTAAATAAATCATTAATAATTTGAATAATTTTTGTTAGTTTGTTAGCTGTTTGATAAGAACACTGTGCATAACTTATTTCATGATTATATGCATTACTATTTGATGATTATCTTTTAAATGTACTTATATGCTCAGTTTTTTTTTATACACCTAGCCTAATATTACAAATTTTAATACAATTTGTGCAGTAAACTGTTAGCAACTTTGAAAAAAAAATATTTTGACAGCTAATTGATTATGGTTAATAAAAATCAAGTGTTTTCATTATCTCAAAAATAAGAAAAAAAAATTTAAAAAATAAGTTGTTCGAATCTCAATATTGATGCAGTATGTGAGATTAAAATTTAGTTGAAATTATGGAACATCAAATTGGTATTGTGGACAAAAATTGCACTAGTGGTTTGGTAGTGGAGAGTTTGTTAAGTGAATTATTGATTAACGACAAGGGGATGCGGATTATTCAAGAAACATCATCCTAAAAGATTCTTCTAATTTTGAAATTAATGTAATATTTGAATAGAGTGTATGAAATGTTAGTATAAAACAATGTTAAGAAGGTCATCATGTTAAATATTTATATTTTGTTTTATGATTTTCTCTTATATGTTTTTAATTGATAATTCAGAAATAGATTTGCAGAATTTCGGAGAAGACATAAGTTATCGGTTATCTGTAGTTGTTTGTGGTATTTCTTGAAATTAAACTTAAGGAGTTTGTAGAATCTTTATCATAAAGCATAAATACAAGATGTAATAGCATTAAGTGACATAAAGTTAATAAAATTAAAACAAAAATACAGTTTTAATTAATCATTTATAATTTCTTTTAATTAATTTTTTATAATTAATTTAAATAATTTTGTTTGAAACAACAATTATTTAGATTGTGAATCTACGGGGACTGAGGAGGGGATAGATTTTCAGGTGTGAAGCCTTAAAGAAACTTGCCTTAAATCTAGCATTAGTACCCCTAAGTTCAAATGAGTATTTTAAATATTTTCTTTAACACTTGACATTTACAATATCTGCAACTCTACAATAAAACTCTTGTAGTACTCAGGTTTTATCTTTTTTTTTTTAAACTTTTTAAATAACTTGTCTTTCTTCTCAACACTTAACTAACAAAATCAAAACTTTGCTTTAATAAACTGGTTTAATAAACTAACAAAATCAAAACTTTGCTTTAATAAACTGATTTAATAAACTGGTTTAATAAACTGGTTTAACTGGTTTCTTAGGTAATACTTAGTTAAAACTTAGTTACTACTCAATTTTTTTTATATATCTAATTAACAAAAACCTGTTTAACTGGTGTTTCTAACATATGTAACACTTTTTATTAATTCAAAAAACAAATTGAAATGCCTAAATTGTTTGAAATGCCAATTTTACATAAAGTTTCTTGTAAACTGAAAATTAGTTTGTTTATTTTTTACTATAATTGCTAAATTTTTACCTAATAACCACCTTAACACTTGCACTATAATTGCTAAGTATTAACTGTGTAGATTTGACTAGTGTTGCTAACTTAAATCTAGTGAAATAATATGAATGACGTGTATATTGATTGTGGTGCTAAATATGACAAGTGTAAAATACTGACTAATTCATGGAGATATAATAAATGTCTTAAAATGGTGCAAAAATGATAAGTATGATAAAAATCTATTTGAAATTGATAACCCTGGTCATATATATATTTTTTTCTTTCTTTTTTTCTAACATTTTTGCTTTCAACAAGGCTGCAAGCAATCACTATTAGAGTCGGAAGTTACTGGAAGAGAAAAGATGAAATTTGTAGAGCAAGATAATAATTGACAGATGACATATCTTATCATAAACATTAGAAATTGAATACTTTATTTTCAATACTTTATACTTTCAATACTATACTTTATTTTCAATACTTTTTAAAATATGATGTATTTTTAATACATCATATTTTTGAACTAAAAAAACATTTCCCCCATTTCAAGTCTTCATCTTTTTTTTCTTTAGCCTTTTTTAGTTGTTGTCTGTCAATGTTGTCTGGAAGATCATTAGTGTAGATAAGAAACAATACAGGACCATGGTTAGAATCTTGTAGTACCATAGAAGTTACTTGTAATAAAAACAAGTTTTTTCCTTTTACAATGACATTATTAATGCGGATAGAAAGAAATGATCTAATAATCTCAAAAACTTTCCCAAATATATGAAGCAAGTATAATAACTTTTTTAGAACATGTGTTTTTTATTTTTTTGTTAAGTTTAAAAATTGAACTTTTAAACAAGTGTAACAACTTTTTATAATAATTTTTCTTGTAGCAATAATTTTTCTTGTAGCAATAATTTTTCTTGTAGCAATAATTTTTCTTGTAGCAATAATTTTTCTTGTAGGAGCTTGTTATATAATAGTAAATGATAAGTTAAAAACAGGTAGCTTATTTTATATTTTTATATTAATTCTTTAAAAACTTGAAATTAATGTAGATTTTTGTTGTTAAAATATATTTGATAATAAATTTTATCTTTAGATCCTTAGAGAAATAAAGATTATCTATAATGATAAATATTGTCTTTAGATCGTCTTTGAATGCAGTTAAAAAACCACCCAACATCTTAATTAGGACTGATGATATAAACGATTATAACAGTACTGTCAAATTTATTGTACCACTTTTGGAACCTGATATGTATACCGTTCGCAGGTTAACTGATGAAGACTTTGAAAAATCTCTGTGGATGGATTCATGTATTATGCTCATTTTTCATAAGAACTGTATTAGTTCAATATCTGATTCATTATTAAAAACTTATTTGTCTAATGGAAATGTGATTATTTATTCTGACAACCTAAATTTTTCTACACAAGCCCTTGAAAATTTTAAAAAATCAGGTAAGACATAATGATAAATAAGTTGTAAAAAATATATATTTGGGTTTCCTCTCAGCATGCAAAGTATGAAATTGTTTGCACAGGCATGCAAAGCATTTAAAAGTATGCATTTCTGTTGAATTGCTATAAAAAAAAATAAGAATCATTTTAAAATTAATTTTTGAAAAATTTAAATCAATAGTTTAGTTTTGTATAAAATTTCCAAAAATAATTTGTCTAATAATTACTTTTTTTAAAAATTTATTATTTGCGCTTAATTTATTGATTATAAAGATTTATTTTATTTACTTCAATTTCTTTGTTTTAGTTATTTTACAATTTGTATTTTTAAGATTTAATATTAACTAAAATATATAAATGGGTAAAAAAAAACATTATAATATCTCGAGAAAATAAATTCAGTCCCAAATATCTTGAAAAAACAGATTCAAGTTTCAGCTGTTAACCACAATTTAGTTTATCAATATATTTGTTTTAATATAAACTAAAGATGTGTTGAAAGATTTCTTCTGGTATATCTCTGGTGTATATTTTAACATGAGTTTGAATCTGGTATTAATCGAAATATTTTTATTTTGGTTAATAATGGATTGCTCTATTTTTTATTTTAGATTTTGAAGTAGATTTTTAAAGAATTTAAAAGTCATTAAAATTTTTTGTTTTTCATATGTTATTATAAAATTATAAATCCATATGCAATATGTAAAATTAGAAGCATGCAAAAGCACAAAAGTAGTGAAAAGCAACATGAAGAGCTGGCATATAATTTTATGATTAATTAATAATTCTATTTGTTGCATGCACTGTTTCAGTAACATACAGTACTTGCTATCGTATATTTTGGTAAAGTTTTAAATTAAGTTTTAAATTTCATTCTGGTAAATTTAATTTAAAAATGTTAATGTTGAAAAGTAAATAAGAGACTTTTATGGCATCAAAAATTCCATTACGAATTAAACATTTTTTTTAAATTTATCACAATGACTGAATGATTAAAGCTTTGGCAGATGGGCTGCCAAATTTTGAACAACTGGCTCGCTAATATTAAAAAAAAAAAACGGTAAATGGTAATGGTACATTGTCTTCATTAATTTTTGTACAGTATAAAATATATATAACAAAACAAAACATTTATTGCACAAAATAACTAAACAAAATATTTATTGCACAATAAAACTGATAAATTCTAAATTTAACATACTACGTTATGTATATGCCTAATTAATGAATTAATGTAGAGTCTATATGCCTTGTTCATTTGCAGAAACATCATTATTGTGCCCTCTTTTTACCCTTGTTTCAGTTGCTAACCTGTGATTCTGGTTCATCCAAAATGTAACAAAAGGAATGGCATTGAAATTTGCTATTGATTTCCCCAATAAATTTATTTTCATTAGATCGGATATATATTCTACAGTAAGGCTGGTTCTTAATTTTGATGCAAATAAATTCATAAGGTTAAAACCTCTCTCAGCTTCTGAACTGCTAATAGCAATTGTGCTTGCTATTTTTTCAGCCCTTAAAATTGAATTAGGTGACTGAACAGCTGTATGTTTGCATCTACAAAGTCACGAAAATCATTAACATCTACTTTAAACTTTAAAATTTCACATAATTTTCTAACCATGTCTTCACCTTCTAGCCATGGTGACATAATTTTATCTAATGACCAGGTAGAAGGATCTAAAATCTCGAAAAGCTGCACAAATTTTTCATAGTTATCAGTGTCATTGTTCTCATTCTTATCCTCATCCATATTTATATGACTAGCCGATAAAAGTCTTGCTTTCATATTCTTTGCCACACTATCTAATAATTGCTCTCTGGGAAGAGACACAAATTTATTATTGTAATCAAATGGTATGCGATTGAGCTCATTTGATGAAATTAAATTTTGAACTTTTTTTTCTTAGATACCAAAATTATTATTCTTGTGTAGTTCTATAGCTCTTATTGAATGCTTAATTAATTGATCAGCTTTAGATATGGTAATTTTTCTTGATTTTAGCGCATTGGATAGTATTGAAAATTCTTCTAAGATATCTATCATTAAAGCTAAATCTTCAATAAAATGTGTATTAGCTAATCTTTTGGCCATTCCTGAATTTGATTTGGACTGGATAAAATATTTATACAATGCTGGGTATGCTCTCCACACAGCAGTAGCTGCTCATAAGCTACAGGATGCCCAACGAGGTCCAAAAACGTGACCAATTTTTATTATTTTTAGGTTCAAATCACTAGAAAAAGTTTCCGATTTGGCTTGGTTTTTATTTGACTTATGATATATCGCATATATTTTGTCTAAAAATATTTTAAAATCATTTACTTGTTTAATGTCGCTTATGGAATCATCGAGTGCCAATTGCAATTGGTGATTCAAACAATGCCACACAATTATATTTGGAAAAATTTCAGTTAATTTTGTGGCTACTCCAGATTTTCTTCCTAACATTGTCGATGCACCATCTGAACAGATTCCTATGAGATTAATTTGTAAATAATTATTATCAAATCCATAATAAGTAAGACAGTCTATTAAGGTCATAAAAATATTTTCGACAGTTGTTGAGGTAAATTCTTTCAAATCTACGAAAATCATGAGAGGCTCAATTGCAGACTGCACTTCACACTGTAAATATATTACCAAAGTACTTTTTTTAGCAAATGTAGAAGCTTCGTCAATTATGATACAAATTTTTGAATTTTGATTGATAATGTTTTTAAAAACAGTTTTTTTAATCTGCATTGCAATATGTTCGACAATTCTAGTGGCAGTGCATCTGGAATGTAAACAATTTCCTATATTAGAACCATTTTTTTCTTGTAATTCCAAAGCTGCTTCTATATCAGACAATGGTCTGTTTCGTTTAACAAGTATATAAACTGTGTTGAAAATTTTTACAGTAATGTTAATTGCTTCAGAATTTAATATTTTAACTACATTTGGTAAAACTTTTTTGTTAGATTGAATAATTGTTTCTTGAATTTTTAAATGTGAGCATGAAGTTAAATGTTCTTTAATTTTTTTACGTAGAGAAGCTTGCCTTGTGTCTTTTTTATTTCCATTAGGATTTATTGAACATGAAATCTACTCATTTGATACGTGAATATGTTTTTTGTTTTCTATTCCTAAGGTTTTTATTTTTGAACATTCTTTACAACCTAATTTTCCATCTTTTACCACTAACCACCTATATTGTTCTGTCAGCAAACTCACTTGTTTTTCTATCCAATAATCTGGTAGTTGACTATTGCGTACTGTGCATGATTCCAATGATATTGTAGATGATGCTGATGAACATGAAGCTGATGTTTTATTTGAAATTGATTGTATAGGTTCCATATCTGCAGAATTTATTATTTTCTCTACAATTTCTTCATTGAGTTTTTTTTTTTTGACATTTACAAAGGACAATAAATTTCCTTATATTACTTACCTTAGCAATTAGATTAATTAATTGTATTTTGTATTGTCAATTCAGTAAACAAAGTTTTTATAGTAAATATAATCTTAGGGAATTCATCTCGAAATTCAAAATTCTAGAATTCCCAAATTTGTTTTCATAATATAGTTTCGAATTCTGAAAATTTTACCAGCGAATTCCGAAATTAAAATTGATTTTTTCGTGCTCTATCCAACTTTTAAATTGCATTTTTGTTTATTTACATATAAATGTTCTACATTCTAATTCTATAAGAAGACATAAAGAAAAAAAATGCTAAATTACAGTTATTCTGCATAATTTAAGTAGACAGAGAAAACATTCCCAAATTGCAGTTAACAGTATCATGTCTTCATTTCATTTGATGTAATTTTTTTTTAATTTGGAACAGTGTTTTTTTATTACACTTCGTATTTTACGTACGCACATTATGTGTGTATTGTGTTGCGCACATGGTATGTTTGCGAGTGTGTGGCACATCACTGATGACGATGATGATGATGATGATTTTTATAGTTTTATTTTTCATAATTTTTGTCGTTAATATTTTTCGTTGTTCTGGTTTTTTTACACAAATCTGATTAGTGAGAAAAAAAGTTAAATGTTTTAATTTAAATATATTCAATGTAAATAAAATAAAATAATTCAATAACAATAAAAATAATTTTTTTAAAAATATTTTCAGTAGGAAACTCTTTATCTGATATTGTAAAAGCTGATGAATTTTCAAATTTTTGGAGATTGGCTTTTCATATTATCGATTACCCTATTCAGGAAATCAAAGATTTGTTTCTCAAAATGAATTTAAGAATTAATGTACAAGAAAACGATCATTCAGAAAATCATTATTTCTGTGCTTACCTATTTTGCTCCAATCAGCAAGTAAAATAATTTATTTTATTAATAAAATATTTTTGTTCCTATTATAATACTAATGATAATCTTTTACTGTTGTTATAAAAAAAAGTTTAATAATAAGAAATAGATTTTTTTAGGTAAGTGATCTCTTTGAAGTGTCTTCTGATATAAATGGAGAGTTTGTCAATGCAAATAAACTTAAAATACGATTTAGAGATAATAAAACAACATCAGAATTTTCTAAAGACGAGTTTATTATTTATACTAACACCAATGAAACTGTTGGATTTAATTGGCTAGTTTACAATAGCTTTCTAAAATCAAAACATTACGGAAGAAATGTTATATATACCAATGTGATTGAATCAACACAGAATTTTTTTACAAGTTTTAATGTTAAATCTATAAAAGAAAATGGGCTTGTTTTGATAGCTCGTCAGCAAACATCAGGTAAAGGGCGTCATGGTAATCAGTGGTTATCTCCTATTGGTTGTATGATGTTTTCTATGAATTTTTCTGTTAGGTTAGATAGCAAACTTGGTCAAAATCTCCCATTTATTCAACATATTGCTGTGGTAGCTTTTGTTAAGTCTATTCGTGATCGACCTGGATATGAAAATCTTGATATCAATATCAAGTGGCCTAATGATATTTATATTCGAAAGACTATTAAAATTGGTGGTGTAATCACTAGCAGCTCTCTATTTAATAATGAGTTTAAAGTTATTTTGGGAATGGGTGTTAACATAGCTAATGATAAACCAACTGAATGTTTAAATAGTTACTTAAAAGAATATTGTTTAGAAAATAGGGTTAATTTACCAGAACTACTTATTGAAGATGTTTTAGCTACCACACTAAACACAATGGAAATCTTAGTTGACATGTTTCAGTTGAAAGGTGTTGATGCTTTGAAAGAATTATATTACAACTATTGGATGCATAGGTAATTTTACTTATAAATATACAGCTTTATATAGTTGCATAGATAACTTATTTAATTTTACTTATAAATATACAGCTTTATATAGTTGCTAGGTAACTTATTTACTTTTCTATAATGACTTAAATAATGTATATAGAGAAACAAAAAAGTTTTTGAATTTTAATATAGTTTTTTATACCAAAATTTAATATATAATATTTATATATAAAATGTTTATCCAATTTGTTTTTGAATTGGTTGATACTGACTGTGTCTATTGTTTCTTGATTAAGATAGTTCCAGTCGTTTACTATTCTATTGGTGAAAAAAAATGTCTTTTTATATTTCCTGTATATTGTCTTCTCAGTTTACTATTATGACCTCTAGTTTTATATCCGTTATCTAGAATTTTGGGTTTTATTTTATTTTAAATTTATTTTAAATTTTAAAAATTTATCATATAGTACCCTTTCAAATATTTGGACATTCATATTAAATCATCCCTTCTTTTTCTGTTCTCCAATGATAGTAAATCAAACTTTTTAAACCTCTCTTCATAACAGTATCCTTTCAAACTTTTAACTCTAGAAGCTCTTTGTTAAACACTCTCTAGCTTATCATTATCATACTGCCGATAAGGATTCTAGATGGGAGCTGCATATTCCAAATGTGGATATACTAAGGGTATAAACAAGAGTTTCATCATTTTTCCATCTAAATATTTAAAAGTGTGTTTGATCTGACCTAGCTTTTGATTTGCTTTATTTATTGTTTTATTTACATGTTGTTTCCATTCGAAATCGTCTGAAATGTACAATCCTAAATCCTTTTCCATGCTTGTGTAGACTAAAGTTGTATTATTCATTAAAACTTAGTGCTGGTTATTTCCTATTATCATACCCTTACATTTTTGCTTGTTAAATTTCATCAACCACTCATTCGACCATTTCATTAATAAGTCGTTGAAGTTTAATAATATCATTATCGTTTTTTATTGTTCTAAGGATTTTTGTGTCGTCTGCAAATAGTTTACAGCTTGATTTTATTTTTTTGGAGATATCATTAATATACACTACACATAATAGTGGTCCTAGCACTGATCTATGTGTTACTCCACTCATGACCTCTTCCCATACTGATTTATTATTTTTTATCACCACTCTATGAAGTCTGTCCTTCTAAAAAAATCCCTGACACCAGTCTAATAATTTTGATTTAAAACCAAGAACATTTAATTTTAACTTTTAATCTTTCATGATTACCTGAATCAAATGCTTTGGCTAAGTCTAGAAACAAAACTATTATATCCAAACCATTATTAATTGAACTTGTGATAAAATCTAGAGATTTCAATAAGTTCGTCACACAACTTTTATTATTAACAAATCCATTTTGGTTTTTATTGAATAATTTATTTTCTACTAAATATTTCATCATTTTATCTTTAATTATCTTTTCCATGACTTTACAAACTACAGATGTTAAAGATACAGGTCTATAGTTTCATGGGTTCAACTTGTCACCATTTTTAAACAGTGGGATGATATTTGCACACAACCATAGTTTCGGAAGTTTACCCGTTTCAATTGATTTATCAAACCTTAACTATAGTGGTTTGGCTAAAGTGGATTTGTGCTCTTTTAGAACTTTTGGATGAACTCTATCCACTCCAGTTGCTTTATTAATTTCCATGTATTCTTCTAGATTAGAGGCATTAAAATCTGGGTTTCTACAGATTTTTTGTGCTTCTATATCTATTATTGGAACAGATGAAGTTTGTGGTTTATTGAATACTGATGCAAAATATCAATTCAATGTATTTGCAATTACTTTTAAATCAGTTTTGATACTACCTTTTAGTTGGATTGCTCTCATATTGTCTTTGACTTTACTTTTATTGTTAATATTCTTTCTTGGGGTTAAACTTTGAATTCAAAGCAAGATCATCTTCAAAATCTTGAATTCTTTGATTCAATTTTTTTTTAATCTTGTCAACTCATTCTATTTTGATAGTAAATGATTGTCTCTGAATTTCTGTCTTCGACATTTGAACCAAACGTTTCTCTTTTATTTTGACAACGCTTTCAATTCTTTATTAATTCAGAGCTTTGTGTTGGTTTGAATACTTTCAGGTTTTATGATTGAAATAAAGAGTTTACATTCTTTTTTACAAATTCATCAAATATTGTAATTTAATGATATAAAGATTAAGACAAGCACAGCAATTTAAAAAGCTGGTTTATTGTCTTCTTTTTTTTATTTAATAACTTGGTTTATTATCTTCTTTTTTTATTTAATAACCTGGTTTATTGTCTTCTTTTTTTATTTGATAATTTCGTTTAATATCTTTTTTATTTTATTTAATAACCTGGTTTGTTGTCTTCCTTTTTTATTTAATAACTTGGTTTATTATCTTCTTTTTTTATTTAATAACCTGGTTTATTGTCTTCTTTTTTTATTTAATATGTTGGTTTATTATCTTTTTTTTTATTTAATAACCTGGTTTATTGTCTTCTTTTTTAATTTAATATCTTGGTTTATTATCTTCTTTTTTTATTTAATAACCTGGTTTATTATCTTCTTTTTTTATTTAATAACCTGGTTCAGGGCTCGAAATAAGTGCCGGAAATCGCCACTTGTCCGGTAAAAAATTGGTCATTTTGTCCGACATGTATTTTATGTGCATTTATTTTCTAATCATTTTAGTTGTTCCAAAGTTATTAATAAATTAAGTATTGTATATAAACTTTATTTTTTGATTTTTTAATTTTTTATGCAAAGCAAAATTGAAGTTGAACACACGTTAACAAAATACATCTTTTTTTTTTTGAGCCATTTTTACAATCAAATAACCCAGGGTCGACAACATCGGGGGCCAGGGTTACTTGATTGTAAAAATTTGAGTCTTTATTGAACAAATTGTCTGATAGAAAAAAGTTCGTTATTTCGAGCACTGACCTGGTTTGTTATCTTCTTTTTTTATTTAATAACTTTAATTTAGTAAATGAAAGTTGATTTCACCTCAGTTACAGCATTTTATAAAAATTTAAAAAAAATCTTTAGCAACAGTTTATAAAGTGCAGAGTGCGTTAACACCTTGAGGTCGTTTTGCTGACTGATACTTTTATTTGGTTTCACATTTTTGGCATTTGCTGTTTATTATCGAGGGTTGTTCCATTTATAAACAATGCAATTTATGAAAAATTGTTAATATGGCTGACAGTTTCTTATTATTTCTTGTTTAAGTTTTTTCAAGTTTGATTTGTGCAGGCTGTAATTAATGTAACATTAATGGTGCAGTTCACAACATTGTATATTAGGCCATGCAGTATTTTGCACACCTAAATTGTGCCTAGGATATATAGCAGTAATGTGATAACTTTTGCATCTGAGTACGTAATTAATAGAATTTATTTTTTAATATAGTCTTTTAAATTAAAAACATAAATTTTATGTTTCTATTTTTTGGTTTATTCATTTACCAATTTTTGTTGTGACATTTTTGCTAAATAGAGGGTTGTACAATGTGATATTGTGCTTGCATACAATTGTTCCAGATTTTTTTAATGCATCATCATAAGCATGAATGGAATTATGAAAAATATTTATATTTTCCAGTCATATTGCTTGAGTTGTCTTAAGTTGTCTGGCTTCTGCAGTTGTTGATTTCCAAGTTCAATTTTTTTTATTATCAAACAAGAAAAATAGGACTGTTTAGTCGTTTTGCAAGTGTTTACAACTGTTGTCATCAATTGCAAATGTTTACAACTGTTGTCATCAATTGCAAATGTTTACAACTGTTGTCATCAATTTTTTTAACGCTTTAAAAACCTGTAAAGAATTTTTAGAAAATCAAGTGTCAGGTTTAGATCCAAAGGTTAAGATCCAAATTTCAGATCCAAAGTTTTTATTATGGTTTTTTAAATTCTTTTATTTAATAAATTTATTTTTAAACATCAATTCAAATTCAAAAACATTTAAATTTAAGTTTTAAATTATTTTTCAAGGTAGTCAGCATGAATGAGTGAAAGGAATGAATGAATGGTCTGAATGAAGGAAATATCAACATTTATTAATAAAGATGACATCACTTTTAAATGATTAGGCGTTGATAAAAATCTCATATCCACTTTTTCTTCTTTACACGACTTTTATAACAATAAAAATAGACATTTGTAATTTGGTATTTAAATTAAATTAAATATATAGCATAAAAAACTTATATGTAGCTTCATAAACATATAAATGGCCTACTATTCACAATACATCAAGATAATCTACAATGCTCTACTCAAGGTAAAAAAGGCGGTGCTCCTCTATACTTACAATCCAATCTAAACTACAATGTCAGAAGAGATTTTATAGTATATGCCCCAAAATACCTAAAATCTATCTTTATTAAAATCATCAATCCTTTTAAGAAAAATATAATTGTTGGCTGCATATACCGGCATCCTTCAATGAACCCAAAGGTATTTATTTCTGATTATTTTAATACTCTACTTGAAAAACTTAGTTCTGAAAATAAACAGGTTATGTTAATGGGTGACTTTAACATGGACTTACTAAACTACAATGAATCCCTTATTATATCTGACTACCTTGACTCACTTTGTTCTTATTCTTTTTACCCAACAATAGTTCAACCAACGCGAGTAACCTGTAAATCTAAAACAATTATTGATAACATCTTTTTAAATTTTCAAATTCCTAATCTTATTTCTGGTAACGTAACAATATCAATTTCAGATCACATGGCACAGTTTGTTTGCATTCCTAATAGTACTCCTTTCAAAAGAAAAAAATCGATAACAGCTAAACGATCATTTAAGAATTTCAATGATAATGAATTTATTCAGGAATTTCTAATATTGACTGGAAGTTTTATATCAAAAATGATGATGATTTCAATTAATCAATGAACTTCTTTTTAAAAACATTCAACACAATTCTTGATCGTCATGCCCTGTACAAAAAACTGACTAAAAACCAAGTTAAACTCATATTTAAACCTTGGATCA